TGCACGAGGAGGGAAGCCTGCCGAGACGACCAAGAGAGTCGCAGCCAGGAGCCAAGTGCGTCTTGTTTTTGTCGGCGCTAACTGCAGGTCCCCGCTCTGTCGCTGCGCTCCGGCTTCGGCGGGGGCAGAGCTTGCACTTGCAGCGCGTTTCTGCTGAGCCCGGTAGAAGTTTTCTTTCATGCAAACCGGGGAGATAGGAGCTGCGTGCTCGCCACCAGGCCCGGCTCTAGGATTTTACAATTTCTGTCCCCGACGTGCTTGCAGCAGCCCACGGAGGGCCGGGCTGGCGGCAGGGCCTTTTGCAGATGCCTGAGCTTGCCGCACGGGCCAGGGGCGAGGAAGGCTTGAAGCCTGGTTTGGTGCCAGTTCATAGCTGGTGCCGCTCATCCCGTGATCCTTCTTTTTTTTTTTTTTTTTTTAATCCCTCCAAACGCTCTGACTTTTGCCCCATCAGCTTGGACGTTCGTTCGTTCACGAAGCAAAACTTTAACCCGGGAAAGCAGCTGCACCAGCACGTTTGCACGAGCTCCTCTGGGGAAACGGCGGCTCAGCCCCTTGCCGCCTGCCAGCGCGCTTGATCCTCCAAAGCCCAGGGCTTCAGGAAAGCGGAAACCTCTGTCCTTTATGGAAAGAGCAGGATTATCAGCATGGCTGCCCGGAGAGGAAACCCCGGGAGGAGATACTCGGCTGCTATTGCCCCTTGCAGAGCACAGATGATACCTGGCCCCAGAAGCTGCGGCGGTCCAGCACGGAGCTAGGGGAAAGGACTGGGGGGGGGCAGATGGGGACACGGGGGCATTTGCTGATTTAACTCATTCACCCACCAGAAAGCCCTAAAGAGTGAGGCCAGGAGACGTCTGCTCTTCTCGCTGTCACCTGGAGGCTGAAGGCCACCGGACCCACCAGGCTGGGACTTACCTTGTCAAACCCCCTGGCTCCTCCGTGCAGGCTGTTGGGTCCGTTGTTGAGGACCAGCTGATACTCCTGCCCATCCAGGGTGAACCTCCCCTTCGCGATCCTGTTGGCAACTCGCCCCACGACAGCCCCAAAGAAGGGGTGCTTCTTGGTGTAACCTGGCCAGGAAAACGGCGTGCTCTTGAGGGATGGGAGCGGAGGGCCACCTGGCGCGCCGCGGGACTGCAACCAGATGGCCCTGGAGACTGCGCCCCTGGTGTTTCCCAGGAGGCGCGCGCAGGGGGGCATTGGCTGGGCTGGGCCGTCTTTGTCTAAAAA